CTTCCCATCCCCTCCCTCTAAATATATCAATAAACATTAGGATGTGATGCTCCTGACTACCATACAGGTTTAAGAAGATAATATTTATTTTAAAGAATTCAAAGCAATAAACAACAGGCTCTTTAACCAAGGCAACATGTATATGTTAACAGGTAAGATAGCTGTTCACACTATGTATATTTTTCTACTTTTTGTAATGCTATTTTATTTCTATTTAAGATGTTTACATTTGCGATTGTTTAATTATAGTCTTTTAACTGTCTAATGTACAATGCCTTGTCTTTTATCAATAAAGTACTTCTTATTTTATCTTAATCCTCAAATATTAGCAAATGTTACTTTAAAAAAAACAAAAAACATTGATGTAACTACATACACGTATCGATATCTTGTATAAATATTGCAAATCAAAACCTTAATTGACCACTAATTACCAAAAATTGCATTTCTATCCTGGTATTAATGCATTCAAATCGTGATTCAAATGGCCCGCCACGAACTTCCGGGGAACTATTGAGTCTCCCTGAACCACGTGACGATCAAGCATTTTGGACCTCCGTTGTCGCAACTCTTCTCTCTATATGGCGCTGGTCTTGACAATCATAAATGTACGGGCAACGCCCTGTGTAATAAAAATGTATGCACGCACGAGGTTCGAGGCTCTTTACGGATTTGGTGGTTACAGATTACAGCTTTGCTGCCTTTGATTCCCAAAGACATGATGAGTCCTTGGCCAAGTAATATATATATTTTGCTCTCTTTACAATAAATAGTTAAACTTAGAAGTTGTCTGTCTTTTCTGGAATTCTGAACCCAACAAACATTAAAACGATCAGGCAGTTCAGGGAGAATCGAAGGAAGGCAGGCAGGCAGCTTTGCATGACATTCTTCTGGACGTGTTTCATTGTGGTGATAGTGAGGGTAGGCTATCCCTTTTATGGCAAGACAGTAATGACGGCCATCTTGGTGACGTGTGTTGTTGTGCGAGACCTATGTGCGAGACCAGAGATGTAGTTCATTGAGCGGTTTCGCACAAAAAAAGTCTTACTTCACAGTTTTACGCCAAAACATTTTTTTTTAAACTTGCAAAAACATTTTTTAAATTGACAAACATCATAGCCTATGTGTAATTCGTGGCACAATTCAAACGGGATCGAAAGATAACTTTTCTCTCGCCATTGAATTCAATACATAATTTTTCCGAAATAAGGTCCCATGCAGGTCCACCGGAAAGGGAGGGACTTCGTCTCTCTATAGCAACCGAAGCTAAAACGACTATCTACTTGTTGCTATCCTATTGTGGCATAAGCCGTTTTCTACAGGCACATTTTACCAGTGTATTCTTCATTATGATTCTACTTGTGATAGTCGGACATGACAACCTGTGCAGCCCATGTATTGATTTCATCTGATAGCTGCTATAATACAAAACAAAACGTCTGCCTGCTCTCCACAATGATCAATGACAGCGAATAGATGGTCAAAGTAAGGTACAAATAAACAGAATCACACTAAGCCTGGTTAGTGTTGCCTGACTTCTTTTTTTTCAATGCCATGCGATATACCCACACTACCTTTGCGATCGACATATTGGGCACCCCTGATATACAGTCTATGTTCTAGAATCTAGACATACAGTCTATGTTCTAATCTAGACCGACCATTTGTGGGGGCTTGAAAAGCACCGGGTTTCGGAGCTTAGAGGCAGCTCTGCTGCGGTGTGAACAGGAAAAACTGTTCTTTTCAGGCTCTAGCTCCGAATCGGCCCTGGAACCGCGTTGGTGTGAAAGGGGCATTAGATACTGAGAGTTGGGGCCTCAGTAGGCTTGGAAATCCCCTAACATAGGTCTGCAAAAGGTGCTTTTTAAATGGCAGTTCGCATGCCAACAGACGCAGACACAGAAGTCCTATCTAAAACTAATCAGGAATGACATGCTGTATAAAGAATGTATAGCGCATTAACGTTTTACATTGCATTTCTTTACAATAATTATCTTTACTTGGGCACTACATTTTCTAAACCTTAAAACTCCAGGATTCATAATATGCACAAGATATTTTTAATTGATCACGGACAACTTTTTTAACCTTAAATATGCAAAACATGAATGCCTTTTAGGAGAGATTGTCTAAAATTGTGCAGCATTATAATAATTTATTCAATTCATCATGTCTTGCACCTGTATGTGATAATAGGTTTTACAACCTGCCTTTGATTGTGGCCATTCAGCTACTGTATAAACCCTTTTACTATAAAACATAGCCAGCCTTGCAATTGCTGTGAATTTCTGTGAATGGTGCAATTTTACAACGCTTACCAAATGCAATGTGCCACTTTCTGATGTGACTGGGAAATAATAATGAAACTGTCCTGTTGAAAATGCACAAAAATAGCATGCATGTTTTGGTATGGCATATGCACAGTTTGGTTAACAGCTGATAATGAAAGTGCAGAGCTCATGACACTGGAAGAAAACAGCTTGATAGAGGCCATGTGCGCAGTTGAAGCATTTCTCTTCACATCTTTGAAGGTGTGAAGGAAAAAACACATCTTCCTGGTATATGTGATGGGGTTGCTGTTGCCCTCTTCATCTCGGTGCTCTTCAGGGCTTTGATCTCTTCTGCAGAGGTTCAATATGGGCCTCAGCTGTGGGAAAGAGCTGTGGGGCTTAACAGGACAGAGCCCAAAAGGAGCCCAGCAGATAGCAGGTGCTGAAGCCATGACCTTCCCATCCCAGGCCAGCATTCCTGCTTGTCAGACCCCCTAGGTTTCTGCATGCACTGTGTCCACCCACACCATCTGGAGCTGTTTGTCCTGCTGCACTGTGTTCAAACAGAAGAGTGTCTGAAACGCTTCAAGCACTCATCGACGACACCGAGCAGCTTTGATTAGGAATGATAAACGCTTAGAGAGCTATGTTGTCCATCCATATGTTAATCCTCACACCTTCCAGCTGGAGAAATAATACCAGAGCCTCCGTCTTTAAATTTAGATAAAGTTTATGTCCTCAGAACATCAACCAACAGTAATCCCACAGGTTTTGGGGAATTTCAGCCTTTGATGTTTTAAATTTGACGGATCGTGGGATGAGGATTTTAACATTGATATGAGCACATTTAAATGTTGTGCAGTTCATGCATCGTTGTTATTGTTAGTTTGCTACTTTGCTTTGTTGTACAACTTGTAAAGAATATTTAATTGCTGATAAGCTACGGCAATGGCTTCTCTCACTGTGTGATTCAAGTGCAGATTCCTGGAGACGAGGAACAATCTGTTCCTCATCCCCTCTACACCTCTAATCATAGGCAGCCCGTGAGCTGCATGTACTCTATGTAGTGGGAAATCACCTTGTCACTGAGTCAAATACACATGGTATAGGGGGAGTAATATATATCCTGCACAAAAAATCATATCAACATATTAAAATAAGAGTTTAACAGTACTTTTTCTGTGGTAAAAAGGCCTTTTTTTTTTCTTTTCTTTTTTTACTGTGTAATGAACCCACACCATTTAAAACAACACCTTTTTATTGGAATAAATAGGTCACTGTGCAAAAAATGTTCACGCCAAGGTCACCTTAGGTACAATTTTAATAGCTGTTGTTGACCAATAGCAACTTGTTTTGTCAATGCTCAAAGTATTTCAGACCGTATTGTCCCGTTAGCAACCGAGCTAAGTTAATCAGAAAACAAAATTGCCAACTGACTATTTGCAAATTAACTTTTACTTGAATATATTTACTTTTCCACTGCAATAACGTAACATTGAGCAAAATTACAGGGAGGAGTAAACAGAACGGTAAAAAGAAAACAGATACAGTGGTTAGCCCGGGAGCTATTTTGACTAGCACTAGCCCTTCTGCGAGTTAGCGGTTAGCTCATCAGCATGTCACAAAACTTCTAGAAACAAATATTGACACACAAATATTACACACGAAGATTGATTTCACAATACCAGACCCATACGATCTTCCCATTTCCGTGTGTACATGCACAGTATCAAATGAACAGCGTTGCCTACGTTTACTAAAGAATAACCTTTTGTTTATGTTATATCCAAAATGAGCAATCATTTTCATACATACTACATAAAGAATGGTGTGCAAATGTTTTGTGTGAAGTAGCCATCTCAGGCCTGTCAGGTCAACTGCATATGAATGCTATCACCTTCCCTTCCTTCTCTCCTTGTCGCCCTCAGCTCTCAAGGTTAGGACTTATGTAATCACAGGCCACTGCAGACCGGCCAGTGCGGGAGACAGAAGCTGGGCCAGACGTACAGGTATTCTAAACTGGTTACATTAGACCAAACAGGCTATCTGTCTCCCTCTGTAATTGGACACTGTGGATTAGAAGGAGACGGCAGTGTTTCCCAGCCAAGTGTGCTAGTCACTGTTTATTTGGAATTAATTACCAAGGAGAGTGGAAACCTCACAGTTCCCAAAGAGTGAATCCAGACACTTGAGGCCAGGATGAGAGGAAGGACAGTGCCATACTAAAGCTATGGCAACAAACTTGAGACAGTTCAGAAAGGTGTTTGTTGCTGCTCACTCAGAATTGTATTATATTTGAATCTCGGATGATGATGCAGCCGATGTGGCACAGTCAGATAGATATGGAAAAACCCTTTCTGTCTCTGAGGCAGCCAATTAATGGATTTCTTCAGCAGTGTAACTGGTATCCTGGTGTGATGCCATTAGCTGTTCTCATGCTGTGGGTGCTTTCCAAGATTTGAGTGAAAGGACAACATTATATATCTCTTAAAGCCTGTGAGAACAGAGCATCCACCCTGGCACTTTGCATTTGATCCTCACTGTATATGTGGAGCTTTTTCCTCTCAAAGGAATCACTCTGTACACCACTAGAAATGTTGCGCAGACGTGTTTTGACAAGCAGGGGAAAGAAAATGAATTCACTAACACAAGGTCTCTTTAAAAGCTGCTCTTTTTATTGTATCTACTTTTTTTTTAAAAAGGGCTGGTGAAGGGCTGCATCACTGCATATTTTTTCACTATGCTAAAGTTCTGTTTGCATGCAGTGAAATAAATGTACAAGTGAGACAACGTAATAAATTAGCATATAATTTACATTTGAAAAAAAGAAATTAGTAACAGTGTACCAACATTAATACTGAATATAAAATATACGCGACTAATCACATGATGCTTTTCATTTATCTTGCACGTTAGGTACAGGTATAAGCAATGTGACATTCAAACATCCAAGTTCACAGCAATGAGTACCAGTTTGAGTGATTTCAATTCAATTTTTTCTGGAGGCTCCGTATCCCGCAGCCAGTAGATGAGTGAAGTCCAAGCAATCTGAGTTTGACTGATTTCAAATGCTTCTCAGCGTCCACTGTCCTTTCCCAACGGCCTCATTCAAGGTTTGGTAACCGATCAAATCTGCTCGACATTGTCCTACTGAAGGTGGCTACAAAAAAGTAGCAGCAGCAAAATTAGAAATGAGTTGTTAACAACTTCGATGAGATTCTTGTACACTCCTTAATCGTCTTTCATAGTTCCTACTGTACCTCCATAACAAGCGTGTGATAGAGATGTTCTCTTTCACAACCCCCTACACCAGCAGGAATGTCACCTGGGTAAGTCAGTTACAACTGGGCAAGTGTCCATTTTGTTGGTGGCGCAAATTACAATACACGGTTAACAATGACAATTCCCAGTGTGAGGTATAAACAGATACAAACAAAACAATAACATGACCAGCATTTACCATAAGAGATATTGACAAGGATATATACTTTCATATTGTTTGGAGCCAGCCTCACTTTTAAGCACACTGGAGGGTTGAATGGAAGCACCCACTTGATAGCACCAGAAGCCTGGGAAGGCCGCAACCCTCAGAGTAGAGCAGGAGGAAAATAAGAGGTAAACATAGTACTCAGTGGGAATAAAAATGAAAATAAAAAAATGGAAAAGCACCGTTGAGTTGGCTGGTTTTTTCTTGTCGCTGCGGGACAATGATAATGAGAAAAAGGAGAACAAGGACTTGTGGTATGTGTACACCAAAAAACGTAGATCTATATTTTCGGATTTTCTTGCTGAGAATTAGGCGAGAAGATTGATGATCACTGTGTCTGTACGTTCAATATGAAACTACAGCCAGGAGGCGGTTAGCTTTGCTAGCAACTCAAAATAAGTAATGAGCATGTTTTAATTCTTCCAAATACAAAGTGTAAAATATATTAGGGTGCCAGATTATTTATTTGCCGTTTTGGGGTGGTGGCCCACGGGATATTGCAACCTCCATGTTCATTGCTTTGCCTTTTCCCCATTCAACACATTGGAAAAAGAGCATCTCCAAAGCGGAACAAAAACAATCTACTGTTTAATAGGCAAACTATTAAATACTTTAAAGTCATTATTGTCTGAAAACAAGCTAACTGTAGTATGGTTAAAGATTCATATTCACAGTACAGACGTAATAGTGACTGGTATCTTGGTTGTCTAATTCACTGCAAGAAAGAAAATGTTCTTTCTATTCCTTTAACTTTTATAAGCAATGAAACAATGACAGCCTTTGCTTCCTGCTGAAGTACAATAATATCTGACAACTTCTGATGTAATAGTCATCCACCTTAAAACAGTAAGAAATAATGACTGCTCTGTGATTCCAATGAACAAGCTGCTTCATAGAATTTGCTCCTTCAAAATGAATCCTTCAATAGTGAACTGGAAGCTCCTCAATGGGATGTTTAGTAAAGGCCAGTTTGGTAATAGTTTTTCATGTGGCCCAGGCACCGTCTTACGATATCTTTACACTACTTTGGACTAGTGATACTGAGTGAGCTTTCATTAAAGTGTTAGGAACTAAGGCACCCATCTGGGGAAAGAAAAAGTGATTTAAAAATCCTCTTATAACCATGTAGTATTTCTGGTCCTGGATTAACATCATATATAATATACAAATCCTTACAGTATATAAGGATTTAACGTATGTTACAGTATGTTATATTTTCATTCCAGCACAGAGACGTCGAATATGAATTCAATCACATTACATTCCCTTCCATGACAGTAGGCTACTATCTGACACAAACATGATAAGAGGACAATATCTCAGCTCTGCTTGGAATTGTACAATAAATATACAGTACACTGATGGGGGTTCTCTGTCGTATCTGAGCGGTAAATTGGCAAAGTATTTACAGGAAAAAGTGCACCGTAGCCAGAAGTCTGCCTGCCAACAGCACCATCACAGTCGTCCCAAAGACAGGAGTCCGACACTTTCAACTCCCACCCCCTTTCTTCTAACGTAGGGTCCTCTCCTCCGTCTGTCCATCTCCGAGGGTAACATCGTCTGCAAGTGATGTGTCCAGCACTTTGGATTCATAAAACAACAAACACGAAGGAAGACTAACAATGATATCAATAATTATTATTATAATAAAAATAACCAGCGAATAATCTTCCAAGTTCCACTTCACAGAAGTGAAAATTAAAACCGTTTGTGTCAGCGTTGTAGGCTGAGCAGTGGTTTGGATGCCACCAAGATGGAGGGCAGGAGGACCAGGTGTGATAAGCGAGGAAATCCATCATTTTCGTCGATCTCTCTTCGTCTCTTTTCCACTGGACCAGAGGTTTTTTCTTTTCAGTCTGCCCTGTTTTCTTTTCCTTTCAGTGCTGTATCGTGCTCCTCCATCTTTGTTGCCTTCTTTCTTCTTTGCTATGTCTTGTTCCCAGAGGGTCAGTGGCCCTGGCAGGTCTTGCAGCACATCTGTCTGAAGTACGCACGGCTGCAGAACTTGAACTTCAGGACCAGCGGGCAGTAGGCCACTTTGTTAACATCTTTGCACTCTGGAGAAAGAAATAAAAGAGCTGAGTTAAAAAGTGAAGAATGTATTTTTTACTCTCCTTTAAAAGCGTGCTTCCAGCCCCAGTATTGTCATGTGTTACTATTAGATTAGAGATGCAGTATGCCATTTGATGGTGATATTTAAAAAGCAGAGAAGATCGATTGAGATTAACCGCTATTCTGAAGGTATTTCACACACTTATAGCCACCTGAATGACAAATATTCTCTCTGTTGCAATAAAAGGGGATGTTTTTCGACCCGTTTTCCTAGTTGTGATTCTTTTTTTAAATTCAAACTCAATAGCTAGATACTAAACCTTTTTAGTAAGAGGAGGCTTTAAAGGTTCAACAGTGGTAACTAACTTCTGGGGGTTTGCAAATAATGTAGTTATTTTTCAGTAGACGCAATGCTTAGCCCTGTGACTTACAGAATACATCAGGCACAGACTGGGGCTAACCTGCTACATGAGGGCTGATGGATCTCCCTCAGGCCTCCACAGAATAAAAGCTCTGCAACTATACTTGGACGCAGAGGCGGGAGCTGAGATCCTGGCCTCGTTCACTAACTGGGCTTCCTGCCATTTGTAGCATGCACACACTCCTTCACACACACACAAACTACTTGCTGGATGCCGGACAAGCAGTGCTCTAAATGCCTTATCACGATCAGAGTGTCTTCCCTTATTAGGCTTTGGCCCCTGCCTCTGCAGAGCCAAATGAAACGAGACATTGCCTCACTGCTGTGCGTAAAGGAACAATTAGCCTACAGCTAATCCCATTAGCCAGCCTGTAAACGCTGCTCACGTTTTCCATTCAGGCTAATCGAAAGGCCCTTCTCAATGCATCTGAATAGCCATCCATCATGTGTAAGTGTATATGGAGGGTTGAGCTGTTTCGCTTTGACCAGGAGCCAACCCCACTGGAAAGATTAATGTAGCTGGCAAAGTGGCGAGGAGTGTGTTATCCAAGTGTGTTTAGGTCATAGCAGAACAGTGAAGATGAAGATCGGGACAGATTATAACCTTTTCATGTAGGGCTTTGAGTGAAAGCAATGCATGTGCAAAACAATAATATGTATTCACATTAAACATCTTCTTTGCATTTGAAGGAACTTCTGAGTCAGATGTGTGTGTGTGTGTGTGTGTGTGTGTGTGTGTGTGTGTGTGTGTGTGTGTGTGTGTGTGTGTGTGTGTGCCGTACGTTTCCTCCTCTTACCGTCGCCATTGGCGATGGGGGTGGCGTCGCACTTGCTCTCGCACTGCTGCATAGTGGTGGGTCGGAGGGACTCTGCGCAGTCATTAGAAGGCTGCCCGGTGTACGACAGACACTGCACCGTCCTCATCTGCTGGCCCAGGCCACACTGCGCCGAACACTGTAACAGGAAACCACAAACGCATTGTCTATGCAGTTAAGCCAATGAAGATTCTTCCAGGAAAATAAGCACCATCTTTTCTTTGTGACCCTGAGTGCTGTAAGTCTTCCTTATGCACGTAGACACACAGCTCACGCTCACACACACACAGCTCACACACAGCTCACACACACACACACACACACACACACACACACACACACACACACACCTTGATCCAATCAACCAATCATCAGGGCATGCAGGAAGCGAGCACAGTCACCTTCCCCTTTGTTTGACTCAGAGCTGGCTGCATGTCAGTGACTTTGTTCCCAGAGCTAACAGGTCAGCGTTGCTAGAGAGGTTTTTCCATGTTTTTGTGAGTGCAAGGACAGACAGAGAAACAGACAGAGTGAAAATGTACTCTTTGATTGATTGTTTCTCATGAGGAAGTTCACTTGTTCTTTTAAGACTACAAGCTGAGCTTCGAACAGTGTGCACGTCTGAAGGAGACGAGGGGGATAATTCAGATTTAATTAAAAGGACACATCTTTTAAGTGCTACCAGCTAAAAGTGCCATAACTACAAATATCTGGAGTAGATTTATGGATGTGTATTGCCTAAGGATGAATAATGAAATCCTCACAAAGCACAAGTCAACCTCTATTCAGAGTTATAACTGGGATGAGTACAATCTTAGACGCAGATTGCACCAATCTGGCGGAAAGGGTTAATTAATCGACCCTGTGACCCAGTGCTGCTGCAACAGCTGATCCTGTTGTTGGATAATTCCTAGTACTGGAGTCTTATTAAGGATTTGTTTACAAGGAGATCTCCACAACAATGGAGTAATCAGCGTTGATGCATCCTAATAAAAACAACCTTTAAGAAGCCTCCTCTGGCATATGGTCATTCTGGCTTGATTTCATAGGTTTAGGAAAAATGACGATGGACTCACCTTGGCCACAGAACTAAGGGACAAAACATTTGTTAACACATGAAAAAGGTTCTCGTATTGTGCACCTGACTTCTATAAATGTTCTAGTTCTAATAAAAACTTAAATTGGTTCTATGGGTGGCCAATAAAACCCTTTTATAACAGAAGAAAGACTACAAAAACAAGATGCCAAAACACAAGCATCTAATGAATCTTCATGATAACTCCACCTTGAAAGCACTGGGCAACAACACACCTGTTTGCCAGCACTATGTGTGTGCGCGTGTACAGTACGAGTCTGTGATATGAACCCAGCCATCAACAAAAGCTCACCCCCCCCACTGATGAGAGAACTACCGGGCTTTCTGTCACCTTCAATGATCCTCTCTGACTGCCTCAGATCAGGGAGCCTGCATGTCATCCCTTCCTAATTAGAGAGTCTTTATTAAGGACCCGCTGCCGGCCATGACAGATGGTGTACGTCAATGGTGCGACTTAAGTGGGATCTGAACCAGTGACCTTTTGGCCTTGGGAGACCAGAAGCTCGGTAGCTGGCAACAATCTTCCCTTTCTGACGCTTTTAGGGACCGGGGCAGGGAGGACCAAGCTTGTAATTAAAGCCAAAAAAAAAAAAAGAGGAGGTGGAGGCCGAGGGACAGGGTTGCAAACACACACACACACACACACATCTGAAGTGCATGAGAAAGTGCTGTGTGAGAGCAGACCCAAGCTGTTGCTTGGGTCTCCGAGGTATTAACCCCTGCTCGGCTGTTTGATGGCCCACGCTGAGGTTATCAGTCAGCTCTGCTTTGTTTACGACTGTCATTGCTATTGATCGAATTCTAAAGATGTGTTTTTGATGTCAGTGAACACACGTGTGGCCGTTATGAGGAGAAGCCAAGGGAGAGCTGTAACCTAGACTTCCTGACTCTTAACCTCTGACCCCAAGGGGCTCAAACTATGACATCAGCTCCACCGACCATCAGAGCACACTGTTTAAAATTCCACTTTTACACAAAAATTCCCAACAAATCCCTAGCAAAATAACAAGCCATATTTTTGTGCGTTCATCCCTCTCTGACGCACGTGTTTTTGGCGTCCCCCTCACCTACATGAGTCAGCTGTGTTGTAAAGTGTTCAACAGCTTTGCGGAGCTCACTAAGTCATGTCACGGTGAACCCGAGAAAGCTACTCCTCGGTATTCCTCTAAATCTTGTTTCCTGGAAGTGATCGAGAGGCCTGGTCTGAGGCAGAGATAAACTTCAAACAGCCAGGAGGATATTACTGCCACTGATCACACACTGCAGGCCCGCTGGAGCACTTGGACCCAAACACACAAACAGAGCTCCTACGCAGGCACACACACGTCACAGGCCTGCTTAGTATGTCATCCAGGTGTAAATTATATTAACCATTCACCAACACATGGGATCCATCAGTGCATCTTTTGGCTTTTAGGCATTCGAGCTATCCTTTTAAAGGATTAACCAGCATACTGTTTGGGAAGCTCACTTAGATCACGTTTAAAGTGCTAAAAAGCTTTTTTGCTTTAACTTGTTACTTGGCAATGTTGATTGCCCAATATACGTGCTGTAGAAAATAGTGCTTTCTGTTTTCCACAGGAGCTATCGGTAGCTATCTCCACCACCAAAGAGTCTCACTATGCTTCCCCAGTAATGGAAATGGCAGACAGTGCGAAAATAACTGTGGGAAACTAAATGAAGTGCATCCTAGGCAGTTTTGCCAACTATTTTACAATAAAAAAGTAGCTAGCACTAGATCCAAAAGTCTCTGAAAGTTTCCAGATGACATCATACACTCCTTTGCATATTGGCAACATCATTGCACGTTCATTTGCATAAAGCTTAGTGGTTGCAATGTTTGCAGAGAAGAAGAGACTTCCTGCATGCATGGAAAGAGAAGAGGGAAAGTCCCTGTACTGGCAAACAAAACATGTGCTGCAGCATTGTAATAACAGAATAACACATTTGAATATATGTCAAATATGTTATTTTGTAGAATGATGAATTTTGTCACAAGTCACAAGATTCTCCCTGAATACTCTTAGTAAAACAGAAAGTGACCTGGGTGTTTTTGAGAGAGCGGCACCAACAATAAAACGCCTTGGAAATGCTAGAGTTACAAAAGATGTCTGTGTCATAAGTTAAAAATCATGGAAGTGCCATCTTACCTGTCCCCATTCACCAGGGATCCAGCGAGGAGGGGGACATCGTCCTAAACTGCAGCGGATTCGGACCGGAGGTTTGTTGTGGCTCGGGCAGTGTGCGGGGGGGAAGGTCTTGGTGAGGTCGCTGCTCTTACACAAGGCGATGCGGTGCTTAAAGCCGGGGCCACATTTAGGAGTGCACTGAAGAGACAGCAGAAGGTGTAAGGAGCACATCTTTGACGGCACGCTGAGCTAAAGTTAGTTTCAGAGCATTATCTCACCTCCGACCAATCCAGAGTGACCCACTTTGGCGGGCACGACTGGTTGTTGCAGGACTCTCGTTCGATAGGTCGGTGAGTCAGGCAGTGTGTGTCCTCCAGTGTCTCCTCCTCAGCAGGGCCGATCTTCCTGATGCACAAAACCGTCCTCGTCCTCATCCCGCCATCACATGTCTTCCCACACTCCGACCAGTCCCCGATAAACCACCTGCACGAGAGTACATTTGAGTTAAAAGAGAAAAAACAAAGCAAACAGTGAGTACAGTAAGTGTTGTTCCTCTGAGTACCAGTGTGTTCTCCTCCCTGTGGTTACCTAATTAGAAAAGGGCTTTTGATAATGTCAGTGTGAAATCACATTATGCTTCTGAACATTTGGGTGACTTTATCAAAGTTGGATTACTAAAAGGGCAGTGCAGCAACATTTCACAGGACATCCGACCTCAGTAACCTTTCCATAACGACTGAAACACAGTGCATCCATAGCACGGAGTACAGCTTGTTGTGTTTTAACAATATTTAGAGAATATTGACCTCTTTTGTTTAAAGGAATCGATACTTAGTTTTCCAGATAAATGTTCTTTACTTTCTTTATGTCCGGTATTGAATTTTTTTTGTATGTTTTCACTATTTATCAATTGGTTGGTTGTAATGTGATCAACTGTACATTTGTTTGGGATAATGCATCACAAAGTGTAGTTTTCAAACCTTTATTATTTAAGTTTCAACCTTAGCAGGCTTATTCGACCAATCAAAAAGGTAGATTTAGTGTAACTTGGCTCGGAAAACAGGTATAAGTAACTCTACTTCATTACTTATCGCACATGCATTATCGATATTCTTATTTAACTCTTGGAAATAAAGATAATTATTGTATTTTATCTATAACAGCCACAACATTTTAGAGTTGCTTGGGGAAGTGTTGTAGCAACATCCAATATAGACTAAACGAAGACCAACATCTGGACAAAATGTATTAATTTGAATATGTTATCACTCATTAAAAAATAATTGTTGCAGTTAAACTCTTGTGATATGGCAGATAAGTGACCGCCCTGTTTGTGCCATGCCTCTGAGCTTTTGTCCTCCAGAAAAATGAGACCCTCTTTCTACACACTTCAGAGCTGATATCATAAAACTGCCCTCCAAACACATCCAGCTTGTGAGATATTACATCATCTGAAGGAATGTATACAGAATTAACGACGTGTTCAAACATCTGTGTTAGCTTTCATTACGCGAGCCCATAAAACCCCGGCTTTTCTAAAACAATAGTGTTTACGTGGACTTATTCGGCCCGTCATGAGGCTGCGGAGGGTGTTTGCCTCTCTAATAGACACAAATGTCATGCGTAACTCAACACACACACACACACACACACACACACACACTTTGAGTCACGCACTGCAATAGCCTTCAAGTACTAATCAAAATAAATGAGATAGCACGGAGTCTGCGTCTCCTGAATACAGATGTGAAAATAAATAACCCGAGACCGTAGTCTAAATGTATGAAAACAAATTACCACTCATACAGTACATTGACGATACTGTGGGCTTTTTTGGCCTGAAAGACATACAGTTTCATACTCAAGTAATTGTCAGAGAAACTGATCAACCCTGATGCATTTAATCCCCTTTTCTCCATATAGGATTGAAATGATTCTGACTTTTCTAGCTTCAGTGTTGCAGACATTTGGCCCCCAAACACTAGTTCATATTGCACCTGTACACGTGTGTGTTACCCCCCCCAGGGTCGGTAGTGAAGCCAAAACAATCAAACACAGGTGGTCATTTTCAAGGCTCTAATTTTTGGCACGAGGCAAACACTGAAAATAGTTAACATATGAAGCTATAAATCACGTTCTTTTTATTTTATTATTTTGTTCCAAACACACTTCACAAAGTAGGCCTCATTGAAGGTGATATAATATCCTGAGTCAGTCTCGTTTTCATGGACGATTTCTCTTTTTGAAAGAATGAAAGGCAGAGAAAGAAAGAAGCTGCTTTTCTCAGTATTTTTATATTAACAATGGATCAAATGTCTAAGTGTAATTAAGTCTGTAGTTCGTTGTGAGCACACTACAGAGAATCATCACATGACACAGATCATTTTGATATTCATTTATCATGCAAAAGTGCCAAACATTCTCTGGTTCCACCTTGTGATATGCAACAATAAACTGCTGTTTTATATTGTTGTAAATGGCTGGTTTTGAACCGTTGGACCTTAAGATGTAACCTTGGCCCGGCTGAACTTGTTATTCATATTTTCTACTAATTCCCCATATTTTTTTTACAATGATCAAGACTGTTGTTACGTACTCTGGAGGACACGGCTCAGTGTTGCAGTCTCTCTGGTTCTCTGGGGGTTTGCTGTCTGGGTCACAGTAGCTGTTCTGCACCACTGAGTTGTCATCCAGCCTTTTACACACCACCTCCTGCTTCTGGGAACCTAACAAGGAGGAAACACACTGATCAATAAGGCAGCACAGAGCTCAAAAACATTTAAACCCTCATCAGAAACATGGAGGCCGAGCGTCGTGTTGAGCGCTGTGTTTGAGCGGAGATGGTATCGCTTTCAGTCTGTAGTAAATCCAGACATGTAAATTCCTGATTCTTTGCAGGATATCTTGGCAAATCACTTTTACAGAGCAGGGAGCTCTTTACTTTGGCTCCTAATGGAGAGAGTGAGGGCTACCGTATCGGTGTCACACCTCCCACTGTGTGTGTGTGTGTGTGTGTGTGTGTGTGTGTGTGTGTGTGTGTGTGTGTGTGTGTGTGTGTGTGTGTGTGTGTGTGTGTGTGTGTGTGTGTGTGTGTGTGTGTGTGTGTGTGTGTGTGTGTGTGTGTGTGTGTGTGTGTGTGTGTGTGTGTGTGTGTGTGTGTGTGTGTGTGTGTGTGTAGTATAGAACATCTACCCATCTGAGCTTGCAGTGAAATACAGTTTGGAGGAGCAGTACGCATGGGGTGAAAGAGTTTCGGTTGTAAGGCTGTCAGAAGGTGTTTTTCATAGAGTTTATTGCTGTGGTGATATATTCAACAATGCGTCATGATTAGCCGAGCTAGCTGTATCGAATGGGGGCCTGATTGAATAACCTTTTACAGAGCCAACAGAGACACAAATCAGATCGTTTGAATCAACAATGCAAAAGCATGTTTACAGGAAGGAACATTTGTGCGTTCTAAGGAAGAGATTTAAAACTTCTGCTTTTGAGTTGGAAATCCTTCCTGAGAGAAAGCCACATGCTTATTCAGTCATGCTTTTACAAAATATTACAAACCCGTCCAGGCCACACTTGACAACTGGGAAGAAACACTATTTATTGTTACATGAAACCCATTGCTTTTGGGCTAAAGCGTTTGGTTTAGTCATTCTTGAGGCCGTGGTCTCAACATTTCACTGCGGTTTCAGATTTGAATGTTTGACTTTGTAGGACAAGCGCTTTGGAAGAGTGGTTCGTATCTGTGTGCAGCGCTGGTAAACCAGAAGCTATGCAGAGCAGCTCATTCACAGAAATTACACCATATTCATTTCTCTGGCTAAAATACGGAAAATATACATATTGAATTTATTAAGAGGACTGAATCTCCGGCTACAGAGTAATGATTTTGGAAAGCCATTGTAAATTATGATACTGGGTTTCCACACACTGCTCTTCAGCATTTGTGTAATTATTGGTTAGGGAAGATTTACAGAAGGACACACACACACACAAGATATGAAGTATTACATATTTGAGAAGGCTAGAAATATTCACAAATAATTTAAACACCCACAGTCTGTTATGCTGTTTAATACCAAAATGCTATGAGTGCTATTAAAAAGAAAAGCATCTGCCCGATGGAGCTCAGCAGAAGTAGTAGTAATTTATTACAAGTTTTATAAATCAAAACTTGAACTGCTTAAAATAATGATTAAAATGTTCATATTGGTTTAAAAAGATGATAAAAAGACGTAAGACAAGAAATATTGTTGAAATAGGAGTGTTTCTGTATTTGACACTTGACAGGAGTAAAGTACGATTATCTGTGTGGAGCAATGAGAACATAGTAACATTTCTTAATTTAATACATTTAATAAACATAAATGCCATATTTACATGAACTTTTCCCCATTATGTCTGTTTGTTTGAATCTTTGAGAGGCATTCTTTCAATTACATCATTTTGTTACGACCTCTTCCTCTGATTTAAAGGCATTTGATTGAGTGGCTTACGTGCCACCAAATCCTAATAATTGCTTGAAGGTGTGGATTAAAATGCACATTAAATTGCATTTACTTTGCATGTTTATAAAGTTATGATCGATATATGACTTAAAGATAACAATTATGCATTAACAGTACATTTAAACCTTTGTGTGTCAATTTAAAGTGGATCTGATCGCTACAGTTTTAAAATGGAAAAGTCTAGCGCTATGTTTCTGTTATAATCTAAAGTCCAGAGAAGCAGAGAGCAAAGATACTTCGCTCAGGGCTCGCGGTGCTGACTCACCTCCAGCGCAGGTAGCAGAGCATTCAGACCAGGGCAGGTGGTGCCAGGAGAAGCCCACCTCATTGTCCCCACTTCCTGTGCGCTGGATGGGCACGTTGAACTTGTAGCGTATCCCCAGGTTCTGCTCCTGGAGGAGGACCTGCAGAGGAAGCAGCAAACACAAGGGGAGGACAGGAGAGACAAGTCGCATGAGAAGACATTTAGTAGAATTGACATTACACATTAATTTCAACCAATGTAAAACTGATTTATTTTGTATTTAAATGCAGTTTGAACAGTTGGGATCAGTGAGGCTTTGGCGGGTTTATATTAGACCTATGGATGCAAATGGAGCCTGAGGGGAGTCAGGCTTTGCAAGCCGCAGAGGAATGGCTAGCGGTCGAGTGGCTAGCTGCTCGTCTATTCCAGTATTGCTGTGTGGTCTGGTATTTCCAGCATTCATGTCAGGCAGAAACCACCGAGTATTACGACAAGAAATGGCTTAGTTGCCTCACATTAACACACAAATACACAGAGAAAATAAAAGGAACCTATTTTAAAAAAGAACTTGACATGAACGAGCAAACACAACACACATGCTCTCCAAATCAAGTAACACAGTTCTTTTTCAATAATATCCACATATAAAATAGATCCAAACCCCAAAACTGGTGGTTGATGGTCATCTAAGGTTGGAAGCCAGATGTTTCAATTAGTCCAGCAGATATGTGAAATATCTGAAAGAATTGTGCTTTTGATGATAAAAGCATGACATTTGGCACACTGTTAGAGCATGCCCTAAGGAAGATTTTTGGCTATAGGGCCATCGCAAATTTGTCCAATGGC